AATTGTTCCTAGTGTATTAAATATTAAGTAAAGAAACGAAATGTAAAGTCGGACCGTGATTCGGACTAAGCTAAGAACAAAAATCAACGACCAATTACATCAATCCGCTTATGCACATAGGGTGTGCGTCCGACACTTTAGACCATTTTATTTTACGAACATACGTATGTGCGTACGACACTCAAGGGGTTAATAATGGTGACTGGTTTTTCTTCATTTGAAGTTGAGCAGGAGGCTGTTAACAAAATTCTTATAAATAAAAAGACAATTGTCATATTGGAAACAGCTCATAGCCGTTTTCATTATAACTATTAAAATGGTTTGATTATATGTTTAAAACTTTTATGTTAAAACAAAGTTAAATTAGTTGTAAACATGTTTCTTTTAATTTTTTTAATATTATGTGTTATAATATCTTTGCTATGGTTTAAGTATCAATTAACAAGAACTAGTAACAATGAAATAGACAAATATCGAAAATTAACCTGTTAAATTTCGCAGGATTAATTTAAAGTTATTATTTCTTACCTTCAGGTGAAAATTGGATCTTGCTAATTGCATTTTCCTCTCTGTTGATAATGTTTTGCAATGGCCTTCTAATAATCTGGAAACCTGCAAAGAAATAAGTTTACCCTTCTGAATGTATTCAGTAATTCTGTTACAATTATTTGTTCTCAAACTTCACTCTCACTGCCTTATTATAAAACAAAGAATCAATTTCTTCTTCCTCCTCGTTATACTGGCATCTCTGCAACTCTAGGGGACAAAATGCATCTGTTTTGCAAATGGAGGCCGAAAGTTAGTCCAGCTAGGCAAACTCTGCCAGAAACAATCCTAGCACCTCCAGTATCTTGTCCAGAAGAACTAATGTCAACATTTGGTTTAAACAATTGGCCACCTTAAGTAAATCAACAATGACAGAAGAGAAAACATCAAATTGAGATATGATGATTTATTTTGGTTGCATAACAGTTTAAGATAAGCTTTATTTTTTTTATGACTGCCATTGTTTAGAGATACAATAACTGCAAGCCTACCCCAACATCATCATCATCATTTGTTTTCATTTAAGGTTTCTAAATTATCATACATATCTTTTTCACCTAAGGTGGTGTGCCTTACTTGTGATAAACTACAAAATAACATCATATACTTACAGTATAACATAATGAATCTTGCAGTAAATATTTACCAGATAAATATTTATTTGTTAATTGTTAGTCACATACCTGGCAAAGGGAATTGTTCAATTTTGGCTTTTGGTGGACAAGCAAATTTGTAAAAACTATGTAAACAGTAAAATATTATTAAAACTGAAAAAAATATTTTTTATACTCTCGTCATGGGAAACTAAACATTAAAAATATTATTTTTAAAAGTATTTTTTGGATTCGGATGTGTTTTGTTAACATGTTTCACTGTGTTTCCATATCAATAAATGTTATTGAAGTACTATTACTAATAGTATCGATTAATCGATAAGGTTTTACTTTAATACAAATGAAAGTAATTAAAGTATATATATATTAATGCATATACAGTAGGTGATATTTTGCAAAATCATGTATCAAATATATTAAAAACATAACAAATAATCCTTTTCGGTTAGATATAAGTTAATTTACACTAACAATCGATTACTTTCTAATCGATTAATGATTTTTATATGGCAGCACCATTTCACTTTGTCAACAAATACGTTTGAGTGATAATTCTTATTAAAATGATTGTTTAAATAAAATAATTCCTTATATAACGTATTAATATCGTTTGATGTGTTGTTTTTGGTAAATCCATGTAGAAAGATAGAATTGGTAATTCAAAATTGTTTGGTTTAATGAATGTATTTAAATCGTGTTATGGTCTCCTACGTGAATATCGTCGGCAGTTTTGTATAAATTGTGAAAGATCTATATTACGTACTAGATCACATCTACTGCAAACAATATCCGACTGAGAAACACACATTGGAAATGAAATTATTGATTGGATATTCCCACGACAGGTAGGATTATAGTTATTTTTATTTATTGTGATTACAATAATTAAACTTCCTTTATGACATGTAAAACTTTAATATATCGCTACCATATCGTTTAAGTAACAATTTGTTGACAAATAATTTAATTATATATTATACTCTTTTAGGTGCATGGATCTGATCGCATCTGCCATCCATGTTGGCAGCGAGCAGATAGAGACAGTTCCTTCTAATATTCCAGAAACTATACAGAACATTACCTTACCGCATTTTAAAAGAGCATCTGATTCACAAGTATTATGTTTTGTTCCGGGTTGAGACTCACCACAGCAACTGACAGTTCCCAGATGGCTTCAGGTAAAATTGTTTTTTGATTTTAACTTTTATGTACCAAAAGCCAGTAGACTGTGTAATTCTCATTTATATTATAATAATTGGGCTGAATGGTTGTCTATCATGCAAACTATTCATACATTTACTACAGAACTTATACAAGATTTTGCATTATTTGTAAAAAAGAAATCTTACAATGGATTTTAACAATATTGAAGGAATGACTGAAGACATTGTGCACTTTTGAAGGTCTGTCTAAACAGGAGTTCCTTCAGTTAAAATTAAATTGATTTTAAAAATTCTTTTGCTTTGGGAAGCTACATCTTTCATCAGGATGATATACTATTAACTAGTTGTTCAATATTTAATGTTAATTTATTATTAAGTAGTTATGTGCAAATGTACTGAATAGGTTTTTAAAAAAGTCCTTTCTGTTAATAGGCGCAAACGTAAATGTGAGTCTACAGCCGCTCCAAGCCGAAGAGTTGTGCTCAAAGGTGAGCACAAATCAGGAGAATAGTCTTGTTTGAGGGAGAGCACACATCAGGAGAGGCAGTGTAAAATTCAAAGATTAGGACGTCATGTGACCAACTTATATGAATGTAGCTGCTTTTATGACTGCCCAAATGCCAGCCTCCAGTTGAAGAGAAACTGTATGAGCAGTGTAATTTATTTATTAAGTGATTATGTAAAGTCTATTCTTATAAATATGTGTATTTAGAAGAACTGTCTTTTGCTTGTAGAATTGTATTGTTAAATTAAAGGTAAATATGTGTAAATCTACAATTTCTTTATTTAGACATCTCTGTTTCTTATTTGTAACATAAATAAATTAATATGATGATAAGGTAATTAAAGTGTTTTACAAAAAATAACATTTTCGTCACATCGTTAATGGAATACTACACATGCTTATATATATACAATTTTAAACTTTCCCGTGAAAATATTGCAACAGTTAACTTCCTTAAGATATGAAATATTAAAAAATAATGTTTTTTATAACTGTAGATAATGTCCACTCAAAGCCAAAGTGCCCATACAAACTGAACAATTCCCTTTAACGTAGGCACAGCGTTAGCAGACAGTCTCTTGCTTCTTGTAAAATATTTTGCTTCAAAATGGTCATGACAAACCCTCCTTATTTTCAAAATCGTATCATCATCGTAGTTTAATATGTTACCACCAACTGCATAAACCCATGTTCTAAACCTCTGTAAATCTTTCTTCGGATTCGGAAATGCATGAAGTATTGCATCGACACCTACAATATAAGCAAGAGAAGTTTTAACAAGCGGTCTTTACAAATAGTATGTACGATCCATATATCTGCAATTACGCTATGACATGAGAACACGTTTTGTATGGAAATAATAAAATTAATAGCCAACATTACAGCGTACTTACGGGTTTTATTACAGTTCGGAACACAACAACGGTGAGCAGATAAGTTTTCCATAGCGACTATCCAATCGTAAGCAATCAAATCCAAGGGGAATACAGCCAGGTTACACAGTCAGAGCAGAAATATCGGAATCCGGGTTAATATACTGTAAAAGCTTAGAAAATCACTGAAACACGCACTTCAAATCCGCAAGCAGAAAAGAGGGAAAATTGGGGAAAAATAATAATTTTGACATTTGTGGCTGTCATTTGTGCGTTCCTTTTCATATTTTTATTAATCCCATCTAATTAACATAATTCAATGTTAATTGGTTCTTTCCTATCATTCTTGTAATTGAATTATTTTTTCTTATAAAGACCAAAAAGCATTAATAAAAATAATAAGGTTGGGAGATTAAAAAACTGAATTATATTATACCAATTCTGCTTACAATGGAACGTTAACCAGTTCTTTAAAGGAAATGTTGCCACGCTGAATATTTAAATTAATAAGAATAATATCTTATCCCAATTAATTAAAGAGCCATCTGTCGATAATAACATCACTTAAATTTTGCTACTACTTTTCAAAGAACGATTTTTTCTACTGGCTGAAAACACCGTGCCTACACGGTACCGCTCATTTTGTTAGATTCGAACTAGATTTTAGATTAAAAAATCAAAAGAGCTTACATTTCATAATTCAACTGATAAAACTTTGAACTTTTGAGATTTGGACATTTTGAGACTTGGACGACTTTTCCATAAGTTAGGGGTCGATAATTGAACTCCTTTGCGTAATAAACAATGTTTTATAAAAAGTTGAAATGTCTGTACTACTATTATTGGCAATTTTGTGATGTATGTTTATTTTTTATTTTAATTTAGTGTTAATTATTTTTAATATCCAAGACGTGTTATCAGCAAATCTCAAACAGAGTACTAAACAATGCGCAGATGTAGGCCATCTGTTCAGCTAAAAACCTTTACGTTTTGTGTATTACTTTCAATATCATTGTTTTTGTCGGAACCTTTGTTACGAATTTGTTAATGTGAATCTCAGTGAATAGATTTTGGTGTTTTAATGTTTTTGTTAATATCCTTGAATTGTATGTCTACCTTTTGTTCCTTGTTTATTTTTTAAGTATTGTATTGAAAAAGGTAGAAGCATCCCTTTTTTCAATACAATAGTGTAAAGGTTTAAAAGCTAGGGAATACTTGAAAAAGGTTTATACAATTCGAATTCGCAATCACATCACGTCATATTTTCTCCCTGCACCTAGTGTTTAGTTGAAATTTGACAATTAGTGATATAAGGAAACGCAGTCAAAATTTTACTCCTGAAGAGAAGGATAAATATATGGCTATGTATAAAGATACTATATTAAATAAGAGAACTGATGGGACTACAAATGAAGCAAAAACAAAAGCTTGGTTCTCAGTTGCAGCTAGATTCAACAGTTCTGCCACGACTCACAGGTAAGTATCCAGATAATCATTGCTAATTTCCAATTTAAAAATGTACAACTGTTTTTGTTATTTAAGATATTCATACATATTTGTTAATATTTACAGATCAAAAGAGTCTCTATTAAGACTTTGGGAAAAATTGAAAACAGAAGCTAAACTGTATAAAAGTAATTTGAGAAAAAATTTCAATAAAACAGGAGGAGGTCCTTGTATTACCAAAATTGATCCCATTTTGGAACAAGTGTGTAGTATTATGGGGCGGGCTTGTAGTGGCATTTTAAATATAAATGATAGTGGTGCAGATTTACAATTGACAGTGAATATAGAATATGTAATAAGTCTATTGGTATGTCTATACGGTCATAGTTATTTTAAATAATACAAAGAAAACAATAACCAAATAATATGATTTTCTTTTCAGCCCACTGATCTAATAAACCCAGTTGCAGCTAATCCAACAGGACACAAATTCAACAGCAGATTTAGTGGTTAGAATTAATTTAATTTTTATTTAACTGCTATAGCGTTTGTACAGCAACGCCACAATGTCGATTCGTTACCAGGAAGAGAACACGGAACCAATCCAATTGCGCAGAGGCGTGAGACAGGGAGATGTAATTTCTCCGAAACTGTTCACGAATGCATTAGAGGACGTCTTCAAGCTCTTGGAATGGGACGAATACGGCATCAACATCAATGGCGAATACATCACTCACCTTCGTTTCGCCGATGATATAGTCATCTTGGCAAGTTCGATGGAGCACATCAGTACAATGCTCAGCGACCTGAGTATCGTTTCCAAACAGGTGGGTCTTAAAATGAACATGAACAAGTCGAAAATCATGTCGAATGTCCATGTTGCACCCGTACCGGTGGTCATTGGAACTGATACTCTCGAAGTTGTCGATCACTACGTGTACCTTGGACAGACAATCCAGTTAGGTAGATCCAATTTCGACAAAGAGGTCGCTCGAAGAATCCAACTCGGCTGGGCAGCCTTCGGGAAGCTACGCGATATCTTCACGTCCAAATTACCACAGTGCCTAAAGAAGAAGGTGTATAACCAGTGTGTGTTGCCAGTGATGACCAATGGCACTGAAACGTGGTCCTTAACTGCTGGCCTCTTAGAGAAGCTCAGAGTCGCTCAGCGAGGCATGGAGAGAGCTATGTTAGGAGTTTCTTTGCGCGATAGGATCCGAATCGTGGATATTCGCCAAAGAACTTGAGTGACCGACATAGCTCGCAAAGTTTGTAAGCTGAAGTGGCAGTGGGCAGGCCACATCGCTCGACGAACCGATAACCGATGGGGACGAAAGGTTCTCGAGTGGAGACCACGAACCGGAAGACGCAGCGTGGGTCGACCCCCGACTAGATGGACGGACGACATCGTCCGAGTCGTCCGTCCATCGACTGCGGCCGCTGGATGCAGCTGGCGCAATGTCGTCCGTCGTGGCGTTCAAAGGGGGAGGCCTATGTTCAGCACTGGACGTCTTCCGGCTGATGATGATAACTGTTAAGTTAAATAGTAACAATTTTTATTAACATAATTTTTATTTTATATTTTAGGAAACAGAATTTCTAATGAGTGAAGAGCCTTTACATGACAATGTCATCAACTTGATGGCAACTAAACCAAATTTCAGGTAAGTCAAAATGTTGCTCCTACCTCTCCCATTAGTACACCAATTTGGACAAGAAGACGGAGGCCAATAATAATTAGTCAAACCAATGAGAGGATGAGGTAGCAAATGTGCTATGTGCAAGCTATGGGGACTGAAACCAAAAAAGGCTGAGCATAGAAGAGTCAAAACATCAACTTTTAACTGAAGAAATTGAATTTAAAAGGGAATTGTACCAGATAATATAAAGTCTGCAGAGAAAGATTTGGAAATAAAAACTGAAGTTTTGAAACAAATAAAAGGCAAGTTTATAGTTTTAATTCATATTTATTCAACAACTAGGTTTATGGTACATTTAAAAAATATTCAGTGATTTGATTTCTCCGGAAGCCATAAACTGAATTTTAATCCATTCACTTGTTGATTAATTTGCCCTTCTTGTATGAGTAGTTCTAAATTAACCAAATGTTCATCATATGGTTCTTGCTCCTTTCGTAGAATACATATATTGTGCAATATGCAGCAAGTTAGAATAACGTTTACTGTTGTTTCCAATTTTAATCTTATTCCAACTGCTAATACAGGAAATCTTCTCTTTAAAACACCATACTGCCGTTCAACCATATTTCGAGTTTTAATATGAGCTTCATTGTATTTCTGCTGGCCTAAATTTTTTGGATTTAAGTATGGTATTAACAAATGAAACTGAAAAAAAAAAGTTATTTTTATATACATATGTAAGATAATAAAAAATATATATATATATATATATATTTATATATAATTTCTAACACAACAAAATTATAAGTAACTTTAAAAATAAAGTATGACAACTATTATTTTCTTATTATTTAATATCATTAATATCATCATTTACCTTAGTGGATATCCACTATCACCAAGTAATTAAGCACTTCCATAATCGCCTCTTTCAAATTTCCTGAATCTTTGGCTATTTTGATAGATTATAACATCATGTGTAGAACCTGGCCAACGTGCCACAACATCGGTTATTAGAAGTTGTGCAGTGCTAATTGTCTGAACATTTATAGACATATATGATTTTCTGTTTTTAAACAGCTCCGCATCGTCACCTCCTACAATGAATACCAATATGTATTTATGATATAATCCTTCAATTTTAGGCTATTTTGTGTTATATACTTGGTGATTGTATTTTGATATGAGTACAATCTATACAACCCAGTACATTTAGAAATCTGTTTATTTCTGTTTTACTTGATGTACGTACTGAATTATCTGTTTAGTTAAACAAAAAGAGTCTACTTTATGGTATTTAATTGCATATTTGAAATTTATTGTTATCAATGTTCCAGATCCAAATAATTTATTACAAAAAAATATTAATAAATGTAATTGTGATGATGAAATATTGTCATTACAACAAAATTTAAAACTCGTTCAATTCAAATTGGAAATATTAGATGCGCAATTAAATCAAATTGTGGCTAAAAATATTCCAAAGGTTAATTACGATAACCGTGTTATTGTTCACAATAACGTGCCAGCGATAAGAAACGCTGTTTTTCCAATTACGACTACTCAAAACAACATTGATAACAGTAACAATGCAAACGTGTTAGTTAAACCTAGCGATAAGGAAAGTGGTGTTGGTATAATAAAGAATGTAAAAGAAACAAATAATATACTTGTTAAACCTTAATTTTTATTTTTTATTATTTCTAATTCCCATTTTTCAAAATTGAAATTCTTACGACTAAGAATGTGATATTTCAACATTAAATAAAATATACCACATGGATGTGGTTTTTTAGTAATATATTTAAGAAATGTAGCTTGTTTCCAAGTATATTTCCAAACTCTACTTTGAAAAGCAGAATCATTTGGGATGACATCTTTGTTTGTTAATACAATTATTGGTGTTCTTCTTATTGATGCATCACCTTCGTATTTAATTCTCGCTGGACAAGTATCGCCACCGAATAATAATTTCAAAATTTCTTCTGAACCTGGTTCGAAGTTTGGTTCATTCCATAGTAGAATTCTCCTTTGAACAGCGTCTTGTAACGGGAATCGGTCGTACTTATTGAAATTTCCTATTTGCCCATAATTTATACACGAATGAATTAAACAATCAAAAAAAAAATTTTTACCTGCATTTGGTGGACCTATTACACACAAACAATTCATTTTAGGTACTTTTTTGTCTACCAAATAGTATAAATTTTTTAAAAAAGTGAAAATACTATTTTTACATTCATCAAATTGAAATAATAATAAACTTTCTAAAACTTTGACAGAATCATAAATGTTGAAATAATAATCACCTACACTATTCCAAGGGGCAACATAAATTAACTTATTCATAGAAATTCTACGAGATTTTAGAAAAATTTCACGATACGACATATCTACTACTGCTTGATTTATATTGTGGAAACAAGTTTGCAATATAGCTTTATTTTTGGGCATGTATTTAAAAGGACCATTTGTCCAGTGTCCAGTATATAAAATGTTCTTAGTTGGAGTTATAATAAATGAATTTAGAAACCTTTCCAACCGGTTTGAACCTTTTTCTCGACCTTTACATCTTTCAGGTTCATTACCTGTTTTGTTAGTTCGTATTTCAGTTTCATCGCCAACTTCTGCACACGGGAATCCTCGCCAGAGCTCACTCCTAAGCAACTGAACGTTCTCTTCGTCCAGTATTGATTTTTGCTTAACTTGACGCAATCCTTGAAGGGGTAGAGCTCTAACTTTATAATCATCGATCCACGCTCTCCCGGCGACGATATATTGATATATCCGTCGTCGTCCTTTATTAAAATAGTTTGACAGATTTTGCCAGTACTCGTTACTAAGGAGTGAGCTCTGGCATGACTGGCGACCATAGAGGTAAAGTCCTCTTCGTTCGGCGTGTGATTGTCCTCCTCCGAATCCGTTGACATTCTTTGTTTGCGTCTTTTCGTTTTCGGTATCTCTAGGTCTATCTCCGGTTCGCTTTCCTCCTCTACAGTTTTTCGAAATAGACTCCCCTTCTGATAAGTGTCCTCCTGATCCGAATCTTCCATGTCTCTTATAATTCTCCGCTTCAAAGAGGGTGACTTCTCCTTCTGGAACGTCACTGACTTGGCTTTGAGCCCAGATTTCGATTTCTTCTGCGGTGCTAGCGTCTGTGATGTAGTCGCGCAATCTTTGGATGTGTGTACATCTGCATGTCGATCCGGAGTACGAACAGTCATGGATGACGTGTAAATGTTTTTCGTGTTCCGCGATGATGAAGATTCCGGTAATGTTGTATTCTCCTCCTCCGCATCTTCCGTCTCGATATTTGCTTGACGTTCCTCTAGTTCGGTTAATGCGGTACTGTAATGGTCGAATAATGTGCTCTCTAAACCTTCGACCCAATCCATCGTTTGGAGCTTCCCAAACGTCATGGATAACCCTTCGTTTAAAGACCACTCCTCGAAAGTATTGTAACCACAATTTGTTAAGTCTTTGTTTTGAGTTTTCATATAGATGAAAAATTCCTTCATAATTCTCTGCAGTGTCTGACCCACATTGAATAGTTTCATGTTCTTCGTTTTCAACGCTGCATCGTTTACGCTTTTCAAAAATGGTTTCATTACTCTTAAAGTTGAATCTGCTTGCCAAAAATTTTCCAACCATTTTATTAAATGATTGTTCAGAATAGTCTTCTTCTGAGAGCTCAGAAGAGTCTTCCCCTTCGCTTGTTTCTTTTTGGGCTTTGGAGCATCGATCTCCAATACATGTTGCGTACTCTGCTCCATGAAATTCCCCATCGTTTCCTCCTGATCTTCGTTCAAGGCCACAATTTTCACACAATACTCGTCGTCGTTTAATATATTCTGTGATTCTTCGTTGTTGGTTGCCATTATTCCGTTTCCTTTTAAAAATTAAAAACTCACTTAGAGAATCAATCTTGAATAAACACTGAATTACTTGATGTTTCCACGATGAACGTTTCAACTCGAGTGGCGAGGAAGGCCCGGTAAACGTCTTTTTATAAATCGCTGGATTTTCAATCCACCGATACCTCCCCACCGCTACTACGACAAATGATTTATCTTAAGACAAAATCATGAACATTATCATGTGGCGCTTCGCGCCACGATAGTTCGATTGTCTTAAGATAAATCATGCGTGTTGGCGATATCCAGGGATACCGCCAACACCCTCTCTCCTCTTCCAACTGCCGCTTCGGTGAACCGTTTCAGCTCGAGGCAAGCATCGACCGTGGACCGACCCGACGGTCAGACAGGTTTGGGCCTTCCGTCTCGAGGTGTTGAATGATACGAGCAGCCAACAAACGCTCAAAAAGTTTGCCGACCTCGCTCAGCAGCACGATAGGCCTGTAAGCCGCAGGTGAGTCCAGCGGGCGTCCGACTTTTTGTAGGAGGCAAAGCTTGCCCTCCTTCCATTTATTCGGGAAGCAACCAGATCGCATGCAAGATTCAAAGAGCTCCTTAGCCTGTTCCCCGAGATGCTTCAGCGCCAGCACTAGCACTTTACCCGGCACCCCATCGGGACCTGGTGCTTTCTTTTTGGATCGAAGACGGTCCACAACTCCCTCTAATTCGGATTCCCTGATCGGTGGGGGGTCCTCCGTCTGCTGGTTCTCAATAGCAGACAGTCCCATAGCAGGCAGTCCCATGTTGGATGGGGTAAACTCTGGCCTTCTTGGGAACAGGCTCATCACTACATTCTGGAGGAGCTGGGGATCGAACTCCTCCGAGGAGGGCGCCTGGTGTTTGTACTTGTCGCGCACCAATTGATATGGACGTCCCCACGGGTTCCTATCGAGTTCCTCCAGAAACTCCTCTCTAGCCGCTGTTTTTGCTACTTGCAGCGTCTTTTTGGCCTCTTTAAATGTCCGGTAGAGCAGGTCTTCCTCTGCCTCCGTATGCCTGCGTCGGAGTCATCTAATCTAAGATCCCGCTATACAACGACCTTCACCGAGCTGGTTAATGGATGAAAGATATTCTTTATCAAATAAAATAAGTCAATAAATATATTGCGAATGGGTTGTCTAAAAAATTTCAGTCCAGAATATGATTAATTAACAATTAAAAAAAATTTTTTTTTTTAAATTACACTGGGTTGGTTAATGAACAAATTCCATTCCAATCGAAAATATGAAACCTATAGAATATACAAATATTAGGTTGACTATTTATTTCCCGTCACAACTCTTAGGTAGGCAGGTATAAACAGGTAAATCGATAACAGTAACTTGCACCGGTCTGATTATTGAATGAAACTAAAATAATAATAAAGATAATTTTATTACGAACACGGTGGTATAGGGTTGTCTGCAAAAAATCACTCCTGAATTGCGGTTGTTGAATTTTAAAAAGTGAAATATTGCTGCGAGTGAATACGTGCGACAGCGAGGTCCCAGCTAACCATCCCATGCGATAGAAGAGGACACAGCATTGCAGCTGTCTATAGTTTGTTGGTTGAATGAAAGAGAGCGCGCATGCTATTTGTCGGTGAAAACGAAAAGGATAGCGATAGACTAGTAAATGCTACACGTCATTTTGGAGTAGGTTAATATTAAAATAGAAGAATGTTTTTTAAATATTTATTTTTATAAATTAATTACATATGTGTGTATATATTATACAAAAGTTTTTAAAATTTTCAAATTATTCAGGATCCGAGTCATCAGACATGTAATTGTGATCTTCAATGTCAGAACATTCTTCGTCATCGCTTTCTGTTTCAGTTGTTTCGACAATATCTTCTATTCTTAAAGGTGTATGATCCCCAATGAATCCTACTGGTTTTAAATATTCATCGAAGAACCAACCGCAGTTTTCAGGTTGAAGTTTCACGCATACTGGATCCGTTGCATTAAGCCACATGGAATTTACGAAAATAGTTCGTAAAATTTTCTGAGTCAATGATATCCAGCATGGTGGTATAGAGTTGGAGTCAAAGCCTTTTATTTTTTTTTTAAAACTGCTCGCTGTCTTCTTTGGCAGAATATTTCTTCAGAAAAATGCGATATCTCACTTCATTCACTTTTGTGCAGTTCTTGACGCCATACATATTGGCAGTAAATTCTTGAACGGTGTTCATTTTTTCGTTAATGAAAATATCAGCTTCATCTGTTAGTGACGCAAAAACTGTTTGATATTTTTCATTTTTTGAAAGCAGCTTAAAAGGTTTTACCTTTCCTTTATTGTGAAATGCAGCCGTGTAATCGCAACCTGTGAACGCATGGAAGGCGGGAAGACTTTGGCACAATTTAAGTCCTAACTTCAATGCTAGATCAGTACAATTAATGCAATCAACAGGTTGGTTATTAGTCTTTTTTGTTGCTGAAGTGGCAAGCCAAATTTCTGATTCTGAAATTTTGTGCATATTTCCTAACAAAATAATCAAAACATCAGTATCAGAGGCTTTAATTAAAATCCTTGACCCTGGTTCCGCTTTATGAGCATGAAAAATAATCCTCGTATCTGCCTCTTCATGATGACATTCATAATTAACTTCTTCACTTTTTTTTATGGAGTTTTCATGAACTTGATAAGAATAGCACTGATAGTTGACGGTTAAGAATTTTTTTTTGTTTTGGATTATTGTTACCAAATGGTTGTTCTCCCAATAATCTGCCAGAAACTGCACCAAAGCCTCTTTGAAACGAGAATTTTTAAGGCTTTGTAAAAAATTAGGTCTGGTTTGTTGAGGTCCCGAAATTTTGTACGGAATATCGAATTCTTTTCGGCTTTCACGTTCGGAATCTTTAATTGACGGTGATAAGTAACGATCAAAAATTAAATGTACTTCTGTTGCGTTTGTTGAACATATTTTGAAAAGTATTGTTTCTGCAATTTTATCAAAAGTTTGGGGCATAGAAGATCCGATTAAGTGTAAGTAGTAAAAACCATCAATAATTTCAACGTTGATATATGTTGGCTCAACCATTTTAGTTTCTGATTTCAAAATCTTTGCTAACGTAGATTTTGAAGTTTTTAACATCTCTCCAGTACATGAAAAAAGAGCTGGTGGCATTGGTGCTAGTGGAAAAGTCAGGCAATATTCGAGATTTATTTTTTTGTTCAGACTAATTGCCAAAAGTCGGTCAAATATATCTCGTTCCATTTTCAATAATATTTTCTTGTTCTTGTCTTTGCTACTGAGAACTTTAGTCATGCATTGAGAAGCAAAATTGAAGATTTTGTTTCGTTTTATAGGTTTATCGAATCTTGCAGGAGTTGATGAGCATTCCAAGATAAAATTTAATTTTTGTTGATAACCTGCTGTCTTCACATTAAGCAGGAAATCTGTCACTTCTGTAGATGCAGCTTTACCCGTCGAAATGTTGAATAAAATATCTTTGTCAATAGTGTCATCAAACGGATTCATCGTACATTTTATTGCTTCAACGATGCTGTTAAGATTTTTTTTATCTTTCTTAACTTTACTTTTTTGCAATGAGTGCGAAGTATCATCTTTTTTCGTTAATCCGATATTTTGTTTGATAGTTGTTAATATCTTCGTCCTCATGCTATGACTAAGCGCCCATCTTTGACGTGCTGATATTGAGTCTGCGGCAAGATTATCAGCCATTTGATTGCTAGCATCAGCATTGATGGTCTGCTCAAGCGTCAAGTCAACCGGTGATCGAGCAAAATTTGCTGTAGTTCGTCTGATTCCAAAGGCGCCTCGACGAAATTCAGCTACCAAGGATGAATTGTTAGTATACAAATTGATCAAATTGCTCAAATATGATAAGGACCATCTGGCATAATTAGGCTGGTTTAACGCAAAAAATAAATCAGACATGTTGAAAATTGAGTCGACGTACAGTTCAAAATTACTGGTGCGGATACTTCTGGAAAACCGACGGTATAAATTAAGTAATTCACAGTACTGATAGTAATATTGAGCAGTTTTCCCTTTTTCTCCTATCAAAGTCTGATGACAGAACTCTTTATATCCGTTCAAAATACGACTTAATAAATCTGGTAACTCGATTCTTTCGTTGACGTCATACGCAGCCTGATTTGATTCATTCTGAATTTGCGTCTGGAGCAGTTCATCCATCGCCTCAACGGCGATATTAGTTGTGGATAAATACTGTTGAAAATGTAATATTTGCAATGCAGCAGCAGTTAGCGGGTGTAAGCGCTTGCACCGATTGAAATGCTTGCTGTCTAAAAAGCTATTCATGGAGCCACCAGCCAATACTTCTGCTTGTACTAGTATTTCCACTAGTCCACTGCAGTCTATATATTTTCCAATCGCTTTGAAAAATGCCATCTCTGTGTGGAACGCTCCCAAATTAACAAAAATATTATTGTATTGTGGCTTTTCTTGTTCTTGGATCTGCATTGTCATTTTTGCTATCGCTAAATCATATGTCACAATAATTTCTGCCTGTTGACACTTTTCAGCAATTTCTTTAGCCATATTTAATGTTTCGTTGACTATTGCATAAGATGTTGGAGAAGAATTTATTGGAGGCAAATACTCAATCTTTTGCTTTTCACTGTGATCAATTGACATCATGCAGTTATAACCCAACCACATTGGAACAGAATCTATTCTTGATAACGACATTATCCATAATAAATCCTTATCTGTTGCTATTTCTCTAGCACCCTTGCATAAGTCCACTGTATTGGTAAACAAATCTGCTGTAATCAGCTGCATACTTGTCTTCGGTTTAGAATAATATGGTCGAATTTCCCGTGATATTTCATTGAAACGCCTTCTCTTACGGGAAGGCCCTTCTCCATTTTCGTTGTCATTTACCGTTGGCGCTGATGAAGTTGTAGCTTCACCATCATCTAAATTATCAGTTTCATCACTAGGGAATTGATAAATAATTCCAACTGTGTCATGCATTGTCTCCTTTCCAGAAGTTATGTCTACGAAGCGGTCAAAATTGTCGCATGCTACGTGAGTGCTATGTCCATTTGCTGCAGTGATGCCTTTTGGTATAATTTTGTTATCATGGATCGACGTATAAGTCATTTCGGTTTCCAGTTCTTCAGCCAAATTATATCCAATCGTATGGCCGTACCTATTGAGTATCGTGATTACTTGCCGAGAGTTGGTTAAAGACTTTACTGCCAATCCAAGGGTTAAACTTTTCGCTGGCTTACATGTACCCCTAGTGACAGTATAAATAATATCACTACATATTGATGTAATTTTAACTTTCAGTTTTTCCGAATTGTCATCAGAAACATTAGGCCCTTGGATAAGATTTTGCATAAAATCAATTAATTGTTCAGGAATATCACATTCTCCTCGAATGATGTCATCAACAGTTACGTTGCGAGGAAGCCGACGAACATCCATATTTTTAATGCAGCTTCTCAAATAATATGCAACATCTTCAAATTTGCAATAATTTTTTGCCTCCAAAAACTTTACACTATTTGCCATAACAGAAATTTCGATGTCTGTTTTGTATACAATTTTTTTGTTACGTAATCCACTCGACGCTTCAATCGTAATACGGTCACCAAATATATTCAATAATTTTTTTTGCAAGGTTTCAATTCGATAATCTTGTATATCGTCAAAATCAATTTCATGATTTCCGAACTTGTGAGAAACCCAGATGTTGTGGGTCGTCCGCGACCTTTATTCAGTATTTGTATCAGGTCGCCTTTCCGGGCTTCCTGTGTATGTTATGCCAGTCTCGTTGTCAAGTTCAAATTGATCTTCTCCGATAATCGGAGTCAGTCCTCCGTCGAGACATTCAGACTCCCCAGATATGCATGTCACCATGGATGACCATGATGGGCTCCTATTTCGCTCCGGTTCTTGGGTCTCACTGGACGCTGCAGTTGAGATTGTTGCGCGCGTCAGTCGAACGACCGGTACTTTCTCCAACTTATCTAGCTCATTCGAGGTAGAAGCCTCTTGAGTAGTTCCAGCGACAGGTGTTTTGGTCGCCTTGGTCTGTTTTGCAGCAGACCTAGTGTTTCTTGCTCCGTCCTTTTCGGACACACGTCGAGTTTTTAGAGTTTTATAATTAGCATTCTTCATCCTTATCCCACGAGTGCGGGAGATCTAAACAGTCCACCCGGGCAGAGATCCTGCAATACCCGGGTAACCCTATGTGACCCTGGAGGTCGGGAGGTATCCAGGGTTTGGCGCTAGTGGGCTGACTTAACCTGTCAGCCACCCGAAGGCGCCCCGACGTCACGTGTCCCAATGTCGAGACTTTAGGAATTTTTTACAGAGGTTATCTCCTCGCAGGGACACCCAATAAAGGGCAGCCCCCCCGGCCCCACTCCGCGTGAGGTTACGGGTCGGTCGGTAGTTGCTGAAGTCAACACCCATCGCTCACGCCCACCCTGAGACGACGGACCCACCGCCCTCACTGGCGCGACCGCTACCCGAGATACTCTCGGGACGCCCGCCCAGCCCGAACCGCGCCGCCGCTTCCCGACTTACCGTCGGGGCGCCGGCCCGGAACCCACACTCGCGAGACTCACAGAACTGCACCTAGCCCTACTGGACTTGCATCAGAATATACTACTAAGGGCAAACTTGGATCATAATGGACTAATACTTCACTACTAATTAATTTTTCTTTACTTAACATAAATGCAAACTGACATTCAGAAGCATAGTAAGATTTTTGAAAAAAATCATGCTGGATCAAATACAAACATACTTTTACAAGAATAACTTAGAATGCGTTAGGTGTTTTCTGCGACCTATCCAAGGCATTTGATTGTGTTTTTCATGAAACATTGATTAGGAAGCTTCATTATTATGGATTTAGAGATAACTCATTGGATTTTATTGCCTCATACTTAACTGACAGAGTACAGAGGGTTGACATCAATGGCAAAAGATCCCCTGGATCGAAAGTTAAGATGGGTGTTCCGCAGGGCTCAATACTTGGTCCTTTCTTGTTTTTAATTTACATAAATGACTTGCCTTATTTCATAAGGGATGATCACGAAATAGTTTTATTTGCGGATGACACTTCACTTTTGTTTAAAATTAAAAGAGGGTTACCTCTAAATGGCGATGTGAACAATTCTATCGCTAAAGTAGTACATTGGTTTAATGTAAATAATCTTCTCCTTAATGAAGGAAAAACAAAATGTCTAAAATTTGTATTACCTAATGTTAAAAAAGTAGATTTAAATGTTAATATAAAAGATAAGAACATGGGCCTTGTGGATACCACAGTATTTTTGGGAATAATATTAGATTCTTAACTACAGTGGGGCCCACATATTGATAAATTGTCGAGTAGACTTAGCTCTGCAGCATATGCCGTAATGAAGATACGTAGGTTAACTGACATAGACACTGCCAGATTAGTATACTTCAGTTACTTTCATAGTGTGATGTCGTACGGAATCCTGTTGTGGGGAAATTCTGCCGATATACAAACGATTTTTGTACTTCAGAAAAGAGCAATTAGATCAATTTATAATCTTAGGATTAGGAACTCTTTGAGGGAGAAATTTAAGGAAATAGGCATAATGACTGTTGCTTCTCAATACATATACGAGAACTTAATGTACGTTCGTAACAATATTGGTTTGTTTTCTATAAAAAGTGATGTACACAATATTAATACAAGAAATAAAAATAAATTAACGGTGCCTGTCACTAGACTACAAAAAAAAATATCTTGCTTCCATTATTATTAAATGATTATGTTATCATTATAAAACCATAGTTGCTTTTTTTCTCTTTATTTATAATGTATTGATCTGGTAATGGCATGGTTTTTGTAATTGTCATTACTCCTATTAGAGCTGATGAGTTTCTTGCTCGTTCTTCTTATCAGCCAAAAGACGTCCTGAACGAGCGGTAGGGAAAAAAATGTTGGACGATTCTAAAGTACTTTTAATAAGTCTATTTGAATAAAGATTATTTTGACTTTGAAGACCAATTCCATTTAACATTCTTTTCAGTTAACTTACGCAAAGGCTTGACTAAAGTACTTAAGTTACCAATGAAATTATGATAAAAGTTGAACATTCCTAAATAAGACTGCAACTCTTTGACATTCTGTGGAGTTTTTGCATTGACAATAGCTTTTACTAAAGATGGACTAGGTTTCCTACCTTCTTTAGACAAAATATGACCTAAATATTCAACTGATGTTTGGAACCATTTACACTTAGTACAATTTATTCTAACATTATATTTGTTTAATCTTTCTAACACTTTACAACTGTATTATAGCAATCTTCATAATTTTTTCCTTTAATAAAAATATCATCGATGTAACATACTATATTAGATATCCCTGACAACATTTGGTCCATTACTTTCTGAAAAATGGCTGGTGCTGAAGCTATACCATAGATAAGACGTTTATATCTATATAATCCTTTGTGAGTATTGACTGTTAACAACTTTTGACTCTCACTATTAACTAATAATTGTGTGTAGGCATCTGACAAATCTAAAACAACAAAAATTTCTCCACCTGACATGATAGCAAATACATCTTCGGGTTTTGGCAATGGATAACAATCAACTTTAATATTAGGGTTAACTGATCTTTTAAAATCAACACAAATTCTATAGTCACCATTAACTTTTTTAACTGGTACTAAGGATGATGCCCAATCTGAATGATTCACTTTGTAAATTTTGCCTTCCTTTTCTAATTTATCCAAATTATTTCCAACTACATCAACAATGTTGTATGGCAATTGATATGGTTTCAAGAACACCGGGATACAATTTTCTTTTAATGTTAAATTTACTTCAAAACCAATTATGTGAGAATCAGGATTATTACTAAAAACATTTGGAAACTTTAACTTAAATTGTTGTAAAACAATTTCACTGTTACTCTTTATTGACTTTACATAGCTATTTTTTAACATTATATTATTTCTCCACTGGGGACTTAAAACATCTAACCAATCTCTACCTAATAATGGAGTAAAGCATTTGTTATCTGAAGTTACAACAATAGACAATAACTTATGGACTTTGATACTTTCAAGACTGACATTTACTCTAATTTCACCTGCAACAGCAATAGGACCTGCCACACCACTTAATTTTATATTCCAGGGATGTAAGATATAATTTTTAAAGTTATAATTGTAACAATGATAAGAAAGTATCTATTTCCATGTCTAAATTAACATTATCTAATTTTACCCTTACATTTTGCGCCTTGTGTGTCACAGTATTTACATTCATTTGTCTTAAATTAATTTTGGAACAGAACTCACAATTTTCAGTACATGGTATATCACAAGAGACACAAACACATTCTTTTTGATTAAATTTATACTTACAATTATGGACTTTAACAGTGTTTTTGCTGAGTGAATCTGTCAGCTCGTTGACCGCGTTGTCGACATATTCTTTTTATATAAAACTTTCAATCGAAATTCACATACTAGACTTTACGAGTTCTTCTCTCTCTCGTCGCCAATTTTGATGTATCAGGAAGTTGTTGTAAATATATATTGAATAAGAACTCAGTTGACTTTAATTAATCCTTGTATTTCACTAGCAGCCATGACAATTCCTTTTTCTATATTAGCCGTAGAGTAATCATTGGAGAACAGTGTTGTCACTAATATTTATCGATAGACGACACATTTGAACCGGTTTTTACCGTAAAAACTGTTGCTGGTTGTATCCTCTGCGGACTCAGTGGCGGAAGAGTCATCGCTTTCCTCTATTTCAGATGCTGAATTATGTTCGCTATGTAATGATTCACGGTCTTATATCACCTACCTCCTCCAAAATGTTCTCTTGACGCGTGTCCTCAATGCCTTCGCTGTCAGTCACTAGAATCGTGTAATATTTGTGCAATTTGATTTTCGGTTAGTCGGCAACTCATTTTTCCAATTATACAACACCAATTCTGTAAAAGATAGAAATAAAAACATAACCAAAGTGAAAAAACTTACTACGTTAAATCACGGGTGGGGTCTGCAGGTATCCCCACATAAGCAAAAATGTAACTTACCTTAACAGAAGAGCGACGAACGTCCACTCGCCGAGAGCTCTCGCGTCGCACTGAGATTAGCCGAAAGCGCGCGATCGTAACTTGTCAATTTCAAAAATTACCGTTAAAAAACAGCGCGTGGGGTCTCCTTAGACCCCCCGCCCGTGACGTTAAAGGTTAAAAGTTAAAGGCAACAAATCATCAAATTTTGACTCAGAAATGGAAACAATTTGGCTATCCCCATTACTGTGATCACTATTGCAAATAACAATATTCGGATTACCTTCATCATTATTTATTTGTAGTGTGTCGGTATCCTTACTAGAGGCAGCAGAAGGCATAACAGATGTGAAAAACGAAGCTATTTTCGGCACTTTCTTCAATAACTCTTTTTTATCACTCTCCTTCTTTGCAGCATGCTTTCTGAATTCAGATCCACTTAGTTTTTTGTTTATTTAAAAAAATAATCACTCATTTGTCCCAAACAATAACTACACTCGTCAAACAATAAACAAACAACGTTTGAGGTTATAAGATTGTTGGTAAGACAGCGGAAGATGAGCGCATGCGCGGATGCACCGGCAGCCGGCACGGGCTATACCCAACGGTACAAGTACTGCCTACAGCGTATTAACTGATTGCAGTGTTACCAGCTCTAATATTATTATTATTATTTAACATATGAATAATAATGCTTGATAATAACTTATCATTATTATGTTTCTTACTATTTTTCTTTTACATTTCCGGTAGCTTGTATTATATTTACTTTTTCTGTTATATATATTTTAAAAAATTTGATATCAGATATTTTTTAGTGGGCAATTTGTTTCTCTCATTTATTTTTATTATCTCTTTTATTTTGCGCCCCCAACCATTTGGCGCCCTGGGCAAATGCCCAGTCTGCCCATTTATAGCCCGAGGCCTGATTATAACGTGCTCCTTCCGGTCCATCCTTACACCTCTCCGATCATTAATTTTCAGATTTGTACACCACGTATAGTGGAAGAAGATCACTATCGGCAGTACCCGCGAACAAGACGGAGAAACTGCATTTGGTGTGATTTAATGTCCTCTCGGGATATTTAACGTCCCGGCGAAAAATACACTTCATGGAGCCTAGGTCGTCAGACACGTTGGTATCATTATAATTCAAAATGTTTTTAGGAGACAGATCCTGAACTAAAATTTCTAGATTACTGAAATAATCTTTAAATTCTTCTAAGGTTTTTCCCGCTCGGGCCTTCGTAATATTTTGCACAGACCTCAATGTCAATTCGTCTTTATGACGTTCTAAAAAGTTTTTGACCCACCAATCGCCGGGAACCTTATCATCGAATACATATGTTTTATTGTTTTTTTTTCAGGTAATCGTACACTGCCAACTTTAAATCCAAACGTGATAGTGGACATCCAAAATCACCCGCTGCGATGAGAACTTTGACCAATTTTTTTCTTTTCTTGATTTAAGCGGAAACGTCCGTCTGGGTATTCCAAATTGCTTCTCAGCTTCATAAGAGGTTGTATTTTTGTTATTTACTAGGTCAACAGCTAATAACAGCATTTCTTCAGAATATTTTTTGTAATTACGAGCTCCTAAACGTCTTCTATCTTAAGTTAAAAAAGGCTATGTATTTCCCATAGGTCACAAACCTATCTCTAGGTATGCGAAATTTAATCGAAATCGTTGTAATAGATATGGATTGGTATATGATACATTAAACTTACTTTTACAGTAATTGTTTCCTGTAGTGCTAGCATCTCATAACCAATGAACCATTTTATACTTACTTATCAAATGATATTGCTATTTATGATGCAAAAGTATTTCCCCCATTTACTGTTCATGTTAAAAATATCATCATACGATTTAGAAGACCTTTTCATGGAAAATTAAATTAAAGCCCAATGACAACAACAAATAATGGCAAAAAACAAAGCAGTTTTAAAATATGAAAGAATATTTCAAGTGGTCAACAATTAAGGCAAATAAGTAGGTTTGTTATCTATAAAAAGATAAACCACTTGTAAAGTTTATTTTGGAAGGATAAACAGTTAAGTCTGTATGAATTGTATTACAGGTACCTAAAAGTTTATAAAATTATATGTACCCATAAATCAACTGCTCAGACGTGTCACGGGGTGAAAAAAATCATACCTCTTGGAGGAAAACGCTGCCTCGCGATCACTAATCAGCGATGTCAACTCCGGAGGAATTATAGAGCAAGAGCCCTCGTGATATTGACGCGCCGGCCACGCGTTCGATCGCGATAACACCAACGCCATAGCCATCTCTCTCGATCACAGCTAATCTCGAAAAGGACGCCTACCACCCGGCAGAGTGACGAGCAATTTTTTCTTTGACAACTCCTGTTAGACTTATTTTTTTTTTTTGTATGATAACGAAGGAAACGTTCTATGAAGCTCACCTGACTAATAGACCGATATGTAAAATATTATATGTAACAGTTCTTACGCGGGAAAATTTAAAAAAGGTAGTGTGCATACACCAGCAGCGCTTATTGCACAGTAAAGGGAAACTATTTCTCCGCGTTCAGCTGAAGTTACCTTGGAAACCTGCTTTAAACCTTTACATGTAATTATTTTTTCCGATTTATGCACGGTTAATAAGCCCGTTTCATCTCAAT